TCTTTATTTAAAAGAAAAAGAAAGAATTTTATCATTAATATAAGTAATATGAAATTATTGATTATGTAATTAAAATATTTAACTTACAATAAAATATTAACAGCATTACAAATAATTCAGTGCAGACACACTTTTTGAAGTATTAATTTTCACTACTGTAATGCAAATGTTTTCTGTTGCTATGGAAACGTCATACAAATTATATTTGTTAATCCAAAGCTGTCTAAAATACCAAAAATAAACATTTATTTAAATCAGTGGTCGGTGAATCGGAGTAAATTACCCCAAATGGGGTAAAAGTGAATTCTTGGGGGTAATGAAGACGTTCATCATCTATGTATCCATTATAAATATAATGTCGACTTTTATCAATTTTCATTATTATAGATCGTTAAGAAGATTGCATAAAAGAATAAATGTAATAATTTGTATTGGATAAATTTTATTTTACAACTATTTATAAAAATAATGATGAATCAATAAGGTAAATAAAAATTTTCAATTGTTTCTTAACTACTTCCACGTCCCACTAAATACGAGATGATGTCAGTTTTTTTCCTGCAACTTTTGATTATTAAATTCTATACAATTATGTCAGTTACTTGAAATAAATATATATTCACGCAGTTATACTTACTTTACGTAATATGTAATTTGGTCTATAAATACACATTTTGATGGACTCAATGTCAAGTTACAACATTTCATGATATTTTTTACAGCAATTACAAATACAATACAAATTAAAGTTAATGTAAATTTATAAATAAAAAAGTTTTAGTTCTAATTGGATTCATGATGTTTTTACTTTATCAAAATGTCTACTGAATCTATAGATAATGATTATTATAACATTGTTATTTCTTTATAATTCTATAATGTACTTATTTAAGTAGTTTTTTTTTATATAAGTTAATGTGTTTTATTCAATTATTAAACTTATTGAAGAATGTATCTATTGGAATTGCTTGTAACGAGCGTCACGTACATCCTGAAGCTTAGCTTTCTACAATCGTGATCGAATAGGAAGAATCTCGCAGTTCAAAGCGAATAATTCGAATTTCTCAGAGATCACGGTATTTTATTCACGGCTCTCCGGTTAAAAAAAAAACGCGAAGAATCGAATCGTCGCTCAACCGGAAACGTGCAGACAAATATAGCAAGAGAAAATAGCTTTTGATCTTTATAAAATAAAAGAAAATAAGAATATACGCACGTATAAAAGTACAGTTAAACTAACATTTTTATATTTGTTAAAGAAATTAAGTCTTTATAATCCGGTTTGAACTATAAACTGAACTGGATTTGCATTGTTTACAGCGGAAATGCGAGATTCTAAATTTAATCCGGGCTTCGGTCCATTCATTAAAACATAACGTAAACATAGATTTTGATTTTTTTTTTTGCTGTATCCAAGGCGAATTTTAAGTTAAGTTAAACATTTGGAAGTAATTATAGATTGTAAATAATTGATGTAAACATTGAAGAAGCAATCGGCTTTAGAAAGATATAAATAAAAAGAAATGATGATTCACATTTGAAGATGAATCGATGAACCCGTTGCAGGATGAGACGAAATAAAAATAAGGTTAAATTTGTTGGTAATTTTTAATTCCTCAATAACCCTATCTACCGTTCGATATATGATTAATCCAATAACTAGAAAGCGTATTTATAGAAGAATTCGGCAACGTTGTTATAACATAAATATATTTATTTGTTGTAAATGATACACGTTTTAATTAATTTCTTTTTTTTTGTTGTTGTTGGTAATCAGATAAGAGAGAAAACAAAGAACTGGTGTTCTGGTGTTTAATTGCTGTGTGCATGGAATCTGGTCTACTGGGATTTCGTTTTTGTTTTGTAATTGTTTTTAAGTAAAAATGTTGGCGATCTTCGATCTTCCAGAAGAAGTCACTATAGTCTGTGATGACGTGTGTAACCACGACGAGACTCATTGATCTTACGGAAATTAAACTAAAAGGAATAATGAAAGAGACAAGAAAAACTGAAATGAAGGAGAGAACGGAACTTATGCTCTGCCGTTCAGACATTTGTTGATAAAATTGTAGACGCTAGTTATGTAATTCTCTCGGTGGTGACTGTAGTGCTTCACGTGGGGACTCTTGTCGAAGCAGACGGAGCTCACCTCGATGCCCATCTTCTCTCGGTGCTTGGAGAAATGCTCCACATCCTGAAAGTTTGATGATTTTATAGGAAATTTTATTTTTTTTGGGGATATTGATATTTACTTGGAATGGTATTAAATCGTCGGCTTTGGAGTAGATGAAGTGCTGCGGCCATTTGTTACTCTCGCACTTGAGCTTTTCGAATGGATCGGATTGGAAACTCTTCTTCCGGTTAATGTATTTGTTGATAATCTACAAAATTAAGTGTGAATATGTAATTTTTTGGATTCGCTGTTTGTTGCGTTTGGTAATACTTCGCAAATCCAAATCATCGAGCAGACCATGGTGATGAGGAACGACATGGGGAAGTTGTAGAGCATGCTTCCACCAAGTATAGCGGATATCGCTTTATACAAGCTGAGGATCCTCCTTCGACCTGGGGCCGAATCGAAGATGACTCCTTTCACCTTTAAAGGATTGAATTTAGTTTTAATCGCGCCCGGTATCGATTGAAATTTCTATTTACTTGTATCGGTTTTGGACTGTTTTCTAAAGCCATGGAGAAGTTCTGGTAGAGGAAAGCTCCTCCGTTCGAGAAGCAATGCACGATGACGGGATGCGTTTCGAAGTTCAGATCCAGCAGCAGCTTCACCAGCTTCTGGCCGATGGTGATCATGTGATAGCGTTTCCAGAAGAGGCATTTCACCGGCGCTATGTACCTCAACGTGATCAAGCTGCGAAAAGGGATGAGGTCAGATAGTTAATGATGGATGATTAATAATCACTCACCCTTTCTCCTCGTAGATCTTCGAATATTTGGCCAAGTACTTGTCCTGGCATCCGGCCCATCCGAAGAGAAGGATCACCGGGACCTTCTCCTCGTTCACAACGAAGACGTAATCGTTGTCGTTTCCACCGCCGTTCGTCGCGAGATTCGTGCTCGGGAATTTTATGTAATACTCCAGGCTTTCCGCTTCCTCCGCCATGGCTCTCTCTCTCTATATATACGAGTATATATAAATTCAAGGATTTTCCAACTTGCTTTTCGACAACTAACTGTTGGCTATGCGCGAGTTTTCCGACTGTGACGGCGCCTATTGATCGACATCGCGACGTCAACCAGAAACGGAACTGGACGCGCGCACTCCCCTATATACCACAAAAAAATACATAATTATGTGCACGTCAAAACAACCGGCACACATAAAAAACAAAGATAATGACGAAGCCGTTTTGGCGCGAATCTTAATGAGCGAACGTTAATTAAACGATCGTTTTGCATATTAGAACGCTTGGAAATTCAAAGTTTTTTTGAGCTTCCGTCAATTGTATCAACTGGCGACACATCGTGGAGCGTCGTCGAACTACTCGAGCGCAGATGGTTATCTAACTAACGATGTTGTAACAGTCTTATTCAAAAAAACGTTACGTAATAACCGGCGCAACGTATATCAATTAGTAACTAGCAAACAAACATCAATTAAATAAGCAAATGACTCATTCATAATACCTGTTCCTAGGATTGCTGAAAGAACTGAAGCTGAGGAGGATCAGTATTTACTGATGAAACAATAGTAAAATATGATTGAATATTTGTCGTAATACTGAACTATACTCATAAATATTGTTCCTTTTAA